AGTTTCCTACAACAGATCTGGTTGGGGACTGCAACTACGTTGGGGAAATCGGACGGAAATTGTAGACCCACCTACATGAGCACAAACTGGCAACTCGGAGACTAGACCCAAACTCACAGCTTGCGGCTCACATCGGGGAAACTGGTCACAGTTTTGATTTTCAAGGATCAACTTTCTTAGGCAGGGGCACCTCAAGGGCAGAGCGTCTCACACTTGAGGCTTGGTACTTTGATGCCAACTCCATCAACAGGCATCTAGACCTTCCTTCGGCCTATAAAGTCTTACGTCATTATATACGCCGTGACGAAGACAAGACAGTCAAACGGAGCCTAAGACTACCAAGCAAACACGGCCTGTTGACCAACTCACCCAAAAGGGGGACGCAACCTCAAGTAACCCCAATTGAGGTGACGATACACAATAAAGGAGGCCACCAACACCCGCAGGCGACGGCCGGTAGGTCAAGGCAGCGAAAGAAGAGAAAAAAATCGACCACCCCAAGGCCAACTAATCCGGCTATCCATTCAAAATTCTGATCTATTTTTGCAGTAGACGCTTTGATAATGGAGAGCCGCCCCAGTTCTTCGAAACGTCAGCCATGCAAGTCCCTCGATCAAGCGAGCAGTTCATTTTCTTCAGATTATCAACCCGGATATCTTACTTTTGCTAACCTAAGATCTGTTTGGTCAACAACAGTTGCACCTGTCGAAGACCTTTATTTTCTCCAGGTCAACAGCCCGTAAAAGCTGTAGGAGAGAGTGGGAGAGTTTGTACTCAGAGCGCTACAAGCGAAATCCCAAGTTGTGCGAAAAGATAGAAGTCACCAGAATGATGGGTTTATTGTATACAGAACCCTGAGTTGTCCTCTCAGGCGGCGATGGTCGCGTGCGAAGCCGGGGCTGGTGTTGACTACGCCCAGCCAGGCCTGAGGGTCCTTGAGACAATTGTGGCAGCTGCTTTTGTAGGTTTGTGAGGCAATCTGAAGTGGTGTCCAATTAGTGTGTGTGTGTGTGTGTGTGGTGCATTTTCCAAGGAGTGGTGTTCAGCGGCTTGTGTTGCATTTGCAGGGGGATGGTATGTTCAACTGGCGCATGGGCAGCTACGACTCTGTGGAGGCAAGTGCGTCCGAGTTGAAGTCGGTCAACTGTCTGCAGGTCAAAGCGCCTGGAACCGCTCACTGCAAAGGTGAATGACCTTGACTCAACGGGAATTTGAACAGGCACACCAGACATGGCCATGATGGTTGTCAACAGCAAGACCATGGTTCGCGGGAGGACTTTGATCGCAGTCTCCTAAATCTGGATAATTGGATTTTTCTGGTTCACGCGACAAGACCATCGAGACGGCAGAATTGGCTGTGCGCAACTAGTTCACGACACAGTGTATGACCCCTACGTGTACCTGCAAAGGGCGCAAAAGAGCAAAGGCAGGCAAAACGATCTAATCCTTAGAAGCTGCAACTTCCAGAGTGGAAAGAGTGTGAAGTGGTCAGTTACATAGTAGAGAAGTCCGTCTTCGTTTTGAGTGGAAACTCAAGCGTTCAGGAAAACGGAACCTGAGAGAACCCTTAATTGAGCCCCAAGGCTCCATGAGAGGAGTATGCCTTGTAACCTGATCGGGGAGCGTGCTTCTACCATAATTAATATTCCCGATCACAACCCACAGCACAAGGGGCCCGTGGCCCAATGACTGAGCTCTAGACTTAATAACGTTCGATGATCAGAGAATTCGGGTTTGAATCCCAGATCCAGCAAATCTGGGGTTGGGTATAACTGGCTGACGGCGGTTAATGGGCCAGAAATGGACATTGCAGTCCCCCGGTCTTTGTCAGCAGTCCTTCCTATGCATCGGAAATGCCTGGACAGTAGTCAAACAGTCCCAGGGGATGCCCTTTCTTCTCGCCTTTTGATCAGAACATTAGGACTAACAACAGGGTTTTATTTATGTGACGCCAGAATTGGAGCTCTGTCCTCCCTTGGACAGTTGGAGGGAGACAATCAGAGGAATGCTTCCTAAGTGATTGATGTTTCCTTTAAAAGGTGGTTTTTCCCTACTCTTATATGGGGATTAAGAATTTTACGTGATCGAATGTTACTTAAGCTGGTCCAACTGCTACCTTTTCGTAAAGGCAAACTCGTCTGAAGCCCGGAAATAAGCCAGAAACGTTCGCTCTGGTCGGTAACTCGTCCTGATTATTAATTGCCCGTCAGCATGCAACCGATGGTAACGGAATGGAGATGAGATTAAATATTTAACGCGAACGGGAAGCCTAGCTGCGGTAGCGGGGAACATTAGATGTCATTGTCGTCCCCTCCTAGGCTTCTGCAGTCCTCATACACTTTCGCTGATTACTGCGTCGAAATGGGTCGAAGAGGTACCAGTTCTCTGTCTGTTCGTCCTCATAGTCTGCCTTGGAGTTTTTTTCTTCTGTTGGGGGGTCGAGAGCGTCATATAGTTAGCTGTTAGTTGTTGGCTGCTTCCCACTGCAATAGGCTTTAGGATTTGGTGTTTTGTGTCCGTCGAGTAAGAAAACGATTCATCGACAGCTACCACTTCTCATCCTCCGTAGTAAACTGCATGTCAAACATACTGGTTACTGGTTACATACTAAACATGCAATTCTTTGTCAAAAGATGCAGTCGTGATGACTATGTGGGTGCTGCGAAGGAAGTTTCAGTACAGCTGTGGATATTGCCCTTCTTCGAGGCAACTTGATATTAATGCTATCATCCAAGTCTGGTATTGAAATTGAGCTACTCAATGAGCACTTCAAACAACTTGGAACCTTTGAATCGTCTGAGATATTAGGGGTGACGCCCATTAAATGGCTGGAAGAAAACTCTAGTGCCCAGCAGGTACCTTCGTTTCAGTTCCAGGCTTGTGCAAGAAAATGTCTCCATAGCACCACCACAAACAATTTCGAACGGGGAAAATATCATTGGCATTACTGCAAGCCTCCTCGTAATACTAATACAGTAATTGCACACACATGGCCTGATGAAGAGACTATGTTCGCTAAAGTTGTCTTCTATCATTACAGCTGCATCACCAGCACAACATACTCAAAAGCGGATGCATAGAAATTGGGAACAGTTATCGGGTAAAAATATTAACCTTCTTCTTAACTATGGAAGTCACACAACCAGCAAAAGTTTGCTGATGGTTAAAAGAAGACGAAGGCACGATCACTGGGACGGTAGATTTATTGGCCTTAGCTTTGGAACTCGAACTGGAGTTCAGCATCAGAGACGGCTAGAGTGCAGCAACGTGTGAACATTTATATCGTTGTGTCGTGAGGGGGGACTACGTCCGTCGCTAGGTCTGGTTTATGCCGTCTGGTCCACAATGGTCTCCCGGCTTGGTGACGCCGTTTGTACTTTGCGGCGATGTGAGCTGCGCCACCTGGCTGCGTGGGCGGAGCGCGTGATAACACGCAGGGAAATCAATGTGTTTATTGGTAGAGTTGGTGTCCGACAGCCACGCCTCCAACAGCTCTCGCCCTGTCTTGTTGCCGGCTCGCGCCAATATCCGCGTGTTGACGAAGTCGAACTCATGGCTTTCCTCCAGCGTGTGAGTGGCGACTTGAGATAGTCAGTCGCCTCTCCGAACGGCCCGTTTGTGCTCAAGTGTTCGTGAGCTGAGACGTCGTCCTGTTTGGCCTGTGTAGTGGCAAGGACGGTTATGGCACGGGATTTGATAGACTACGCCCGACTGCTCACCTGCGTCCAGCTGATCCTTCATTTTTATGATCCTGCTACGCATGGTAGACGTCGGATGATGGGCGATGTCCACGCCTAACTCTGACGCAATGCGCTCTGTAGTCTCGAACACATTCTTTATGTACGGTAGGGAGTGCCAACTTGTTGGTGTCTCTCTTCGCTGATGTATTCGTGTTAGATAAACTGCATCTAAGCGGTTGCAGCAATGCTTACCGGATAAACAAATTAATCGACGCTTATTTCATCCAGACTTGCATAGGGAACAGAGATAGTGTTAGAGTTTCAGGTGCATGTATGAGTAAGGAAGTAGGTGACGGTCAGGCGTCGAAACAATTTATTATTCTGACCATTTGAACTCGTGCAGGAAATTATCGTCAGAGATGACAACAGCAGCAGAACAAGCAACAGTTATAAGGGGTGCGAACCACTGAAGCCAAGGTCTGGATGTGACTTCGCAGGACTGAGTGTGCTGGTTCCAGATCGATACATCGATTGACTGGGTCCTCATCCGATGGCCAGGCTTCAAGCGATTCTCGACTTGTCTTGATTTCGGTATGAGAGATTATCTTGGCGGCTGCAAAGTTGAACACATGACTTGTTTCGCAGGTGCGACAACTAATCGTCCCGTCGCACAACCAACTTATGTTCGCGTATGCGCGATCCGAGTATGGGTCTAATTTGTCCTGTATGGTTACAATTATAGTCTAGGCACAGGATGTGCTAAATTAACCCAGACAGCTTCCTTGGATTTAATCGTATCTTGGTTTTGCTGACCCCACTACGGATGGTAGCTTTGGACTGGTGTACGATTCCAGCAGCGCGCGCGGTCGCCTCGAGACAAGATTACTTGGGCGACGTATCGTTGCCATCAACTCCATCATCATCGGTAAGGTTCACAAAGCTATGCGACACAAGTTCTTTTTAGGAATCTTCATCAGAATTAGACACCAGCTCCACAATTCCTAAGGGGCAATCTCCAAATCTTTCAAGGAAGTTTTTGTTTTTGCTAATACGTATATACATTTCAGATGGGCATCCAATTAGCAGCACGCCGAAGCGAAAGCGACGGCGACGTGACTACTCACACTCCGACCGCAAACATAGAAAACAAAAGCAAAGGGAGTGTCAGACGCGTCTTACAGGCTTAATTTGGTAAACAGTGTTTGTTATTAATAATAACCGGATTCAGGTTGCCTACCTCTCGGCCATGGGGTGTGACACAGTTTCCGCTTTTGCGGAAAGAATATTCTTCACCCTTTTTTCCGAAGACGTGGACGAGTTCCTAACTTTTTACAGAAGAAAGGCTGGTACTCGGGGCTTATTTGACAGTCCCGTTTATTCTGTAATCCTGGGTAGGATTTGCAATTAGACCAAATAAATAATCACATTCTAGAGGTATTCAGTGGGTGGAATAAAGACCACCGTTCTGACCGCCAGCAGTTCGAAAATGCATTTAAAAATGCATTTAAGAAGGGTCACGACCGATATCAACGGAAATGCCATAGGGCTTCCTCCAGCAGGCATTCACAAGGTATGTTTTACTACATTTATGTTACCATTAAGTACCAAAAGGCATAATATGTTTGCTTACCACTGCGAAATCTTTCCCTTTTAGACCCCGCGACGACTATCACAGACTCCACCATTGACAACGGGGACAACCAGCAATAGAGCTTTTATGCATTAAAACAAAAATCAGAGTACATGTATTTTTTTAACAATACAATTATCATTATCCAATCATGTTTTCCTTTATTCATAATACCGGGAAAAAATTGGGGTATTTTATGGGAATTGGGCAGTACAAGTGAGGGGAACCCCTGGTTGGGTAAGCGCTGGAGCTCGTTTTTGGAGCTCGGACAAAGCTCGGAACGACCTCGCTAGCCCGTTTTTCAGAGCTCATTTTGGGCTCGTTTTCGAGAGCTCCGTACGAGTTCTAATCGATGACCATTTCAGAGCTCCATCAGAGCTCGCGTACCTCGCAAAACGAGCTCCCTACGAGCTCGTTCAGAGCACATTTTGCTATAAGGGTCTGAAACACTCTTTACATATGACATAGGACATATGTCCTTGGCAAGTTTCGTTTGGATCCTCCGAGACGAACTCGTAGGCACCAGCTTATGAACGCCTTCGGATGGCCATTCCGCAACAGTTGGCCGCGGAGATATAGGGCCTCGCGCGCGTTTTTTCTTGCGGGCTGCTGCAGTGAGTCTGAATCCGTTTAAATAACGTTCTCCCAGTTTCTTTTCAGAGGCACCGGATGGTTGCTGTGAAGACTGAGAAGCTACCTGGTGTTTATTGCCGTCCTGTAAACGGCTGTCCCACTTTTGCTGTTAGGACTTCGCCTATTATGCTCTGAGTGGGATTTGTAAATGGATTGCAGGGCAAACCTTTTGTATGATTTCAACCCGCCCTTACCATAGTTGGTATCTCTAGCAAATTATCCTTCCTGTAGGCAGTTGGCGATAGCCAGGAAGCTCAAACATTCAGAAGGTTTTTACTGCCAGTTTGGATTGAACCGCCAACCCGCGAATTCGGGAGGGTCGGCAGATCAACCCGGTCATCACTTAACCTTCAAAAATTCTAATTTAAAATCCCGGAAATGTTACGTAAAAGCGACTAGTAGACTGTTTTGTCTTCGGAAACGAGAACAAGCTGACACACATACCAGGATACATCGACGAGCATGCTCTCTACGCAAGTGAGATGTGCATGTACTGGCGTGCGTAGTTTCGCCCGCCATATAGATGATGACGATATGGGTCGCGTGCTTATGGCAGGAGGGAGGCACGGGGGTGAAGTGGGTGGAGTGCATGCGCGTGTTAGTTGACAGACTTGGACAGTCCACTGGTGCATGGGAGAGAGGGAGAGAAAGCGACCGACGCAGGTGAATCATCTCCACGCCAAATCAGTGCATTACCCACTACAATAAATCTGACGCTCTTGAATATATTACAGTGTGCTAAGAGTCGTTGCTTTTAAGGTTGCCAACTAAAGGGAAAGTTCGGTTCTCGTGGGAATATTCTGGAGTGAATGGGGGACTGAAAGTCAGGTTGTAATGGCTCCTTCCCAGTGTGGCCTTTTTTGGCTTTTTCATTGATGTGAAGTCTAAGCCGCCCTTATTGCAGCCTGGAACGTGTAGCGACGACCAGGCTGGGTGTGGCACGCGTAGACGGACTGTTTGCCTTCGTCCGAAAATGTGTCCGAGCCCACCTCTGCTCGTCTCAACGTTGTCTTGCCACAGAGGCCCGGTGGGTGATGGAGGAGAGAGTGTGTGGTGTGCGCTGCGCAAGTCTTCCCCGTCATGAACTAATTCTCCCGCAAGTTCCCGTCCTGCGCCGACTCCGTGGTGCACACAGTGGACGTCGTTGCCCGCGACGATCGAAATAGCAAGTGTGGAATTAGTGTTCGTATCACGAAAAATAACTTGGAATTTCCGAAAGCAGGCACAGTAGGTGGGCTAATTCACGAAACATCAACCGAAATTCCGAAATGCGTTTTCGTTTCAAGAAGATCAATTAAGTAGGGTTGTAAAACTAATGAGTCTGCAGTATAATTCTATAATAATTTAGTTACCCCAGGATGCTGGCTTTCGAATAAACTTCCTTCCGGCTGTATCCAAAACTACACTCTGTAAAAAATGACCGCTTAAGGAACATACATTTTTCTCATTGATTTTCGATGCCCTTAAAAGTGTAATTATGTTTCATGAAAAACATGCATAGAAATATTCATCCTTTCTCTCATTCAGTAGATAATTTCGTCTACCAATTTTATACTCAAAGGAAGGGTATAATTCGGCTTTAAAAAGTTTTTGATTGTGAGACTTTTCACTACCGTGAAATGACGGTTCATAAAACGTCATGTCTCTGCATTTGCCTATGTGGCTTGTAAAGTTAACAATATGCATCAAATCCAATGCATACTTTTATGAACCCCACATGGTCGGAAGGAAGTTTATTCCATATTGTTAACTTTACAAGCAACACTTGTAAATGCAGAGACATGACGTTTTATGAACGGCCATTTCACGATATCTAAGTCTCAGAATTAGAAACTTTTCAAAACCGAATTACACCTCTTCTCTGAGTATAAAATTGGAAGACGTAATTTTCTACCGAATGAGCGAAAGAATGAATATTTTATGCATGTTTTCCATGAAATAAAATTGCACTTTTAGGGGCGTCGAAAATCAATTAGAAAAATGCATGCTCCCTAAGCAACCATTTTTACAGAGTATAGTTTTTGTATGCAGCCGGAAGGGAGTTTGCTCAAGAGCCAGCATTCTGAAGTAACTGAATTATTATAGAACTATGCTGCAGACTGATTAATTTTACAACCCTACTTAATTAATCTTTCTGAAACGAAAACGCATTTCGGTTGATATTTCATGAGTGAGCCCACTTACTGTATGCGCCTTTTCCTATGTTTATAATAACAGACATTTGTAAGTAAGCTAAAGAAATGAGAAACGTTACTGTGTACCGTTCGAACAAGGGGGGAGTACGATTAAGTTCATACATAGATCCCCATTTGTTAATCTGCACAAAAAACTAAGGGTTCCTTATAAATATAGAAAACTGGGATTCTGCCCCTAGTTTCCACTTACAAACGGCAAATGGCAGTGTTTGATTCTTCACCAAAATATACGTGAACATGCTCAAAGTCGACACAAAACCGCATACTCGACGTTTCAGTCTGATGTCCTCAATAAATTCACCTCTAACTTATAAAACGTCGTCCAAGAATTCAATGTAATAGATAGAAACCGTGAAAAACAGGCCCATGCCTAGAAGACACGTTATTTTCAAAATAAAACTCTCCTTTTCTTAGCTACCTAACGGTGGAAGTTTGGTGCAAGGAAAAGTATTGGGGATCAGAGGTACCTCAAACGAGCGGGCAGTCGAAGTTTTAGGTACTGTAGAAAGATGCCTCGACTGTTTTCTCACACGGGATGGAAATGCTTTCATACTTAGCAGGAAATTTTTCATTTAAACACTCGTTGACTAAGCTTCTTAAATATTTTACAATGGTACCTTTTCCTGAGAACGATGTCACATGAAATGCGTTGGGAGCATACCCAGACAGAGGCAGATAGATAAGCTGCTAAGTAGTTTTTTTTTCGCAGGTCGCAAGTCCCGTTGCACTGTTCTAGGTTAAAAGAAAACTATCTAGTGGAACATTTAAACAAAAGGCTTGACAATCTGTTTTTTTTTTCAAAATATATAACCGCCAACAATATGGTATAAGTTGCTTCAGGAACAGGCTCGTAATTTACCAAGACCCACACGGCAGCTGGAGACACACATGCGAACAACTGGATTGTTTCACAGTCTAGTAGTGCTAATGGGAGCATTAATCGATTAGGAAATCCAACTGCTTACAGTTCCGTCGTTTCTACTCTCAGTTCCCTCTGGGGTAACAATCGGGAGATGGCACCCAAAAGAATGCTGCCGGCCAAAGCAGCGATCTTATCGCAACTGTCCTAAGCTATGCAGCCATGCAGTGAGCCGCATACTGGCGACTGTGGTAGCTCCTGACCTCTGGAAAAAATTGATAATCCAAGTGTTCGGTCAACGGCGATCGTATTGCAATTGTCCGTAGGTAAGCTACTATAGAATAATCCGCATAGGGACTACTGCGGTCGCTTGTCAGCAGTGGAAGCTTATATTAAGGTTGTTTAACGTAGGGTGGGTCTACGGCAATAGTTTTGCAACTGTTCAAAGGGTATGGTGCCATCGATTGAGCCAGTCATTCCCCACCTAAGGAAGAAATGGCCATAATGGATAAGCCAAATGGCCGGTCCACAGCGATCGTATCACAAGTGTTTGAACGTATGCTACCATAGATTAAGCCGCATATCGACTACTGCGCTCGCTCTTCAGCTGTGGAAGATAATGTCAAGGCTGGTAAACATAGGATTGGTCTAGAGCGATAATTAACTAACTTTCCTAAGCTATGCTGTTCTAAAGTCAAGGTTGATTAACCATGGCTCGGTCTGCAGCGGTCGCATCTCAACTGTTGGAGACAATGATAATCTATGTAAGGCAACATGTGCACTGCAGATCATATAAAATTAAGGTCGGATGAAACAACAAATATGCATGGCCACAACCTACTCAAATAGGTATAACAGGTATTATTTCGGAGCAACGGATATTTGGGTGCCCTCTCCCGATTGTTACCCCCTTCGGTTGTGGTATAAAATCCTCTAGTTATTTTATCAGACTTGGTGTTATCGATCGTCCGATTTCCTCCAAAGTTATATACATCTAAACTTCTGAAAATCCCTACTGAAAAATCCAAAAAGCTATTTGTCGAGTATAGGCCTCCTTATGGGGGATTATCACTGCAGCGTATCCTGCCCGGGCCGTCAGGACATCATGCCACAAACGCGTGACAAGCGAACGATCAAGGTCACGGCCCCCTGTTCACACCGTCTTTGTTCTGATTGGCCACCCATCAGCCTATGACGGTCCCCCTTGCCATATACCCGGCCGTTTCCACAAGCCTCCTCACTTGTGCTGTCTATCGTACTCAGTACACGTCCTATTTCCAATTAGCCTTCTGTTTTGCATACATAACATTGGCGACGCAGCCTAACGAACATGTCTTCATTGCTGCCTACACCGCCACCTTTTTGGGCAAAGAACGCCCCGAAGCCCTCAAAT